AACCCGCCACCTTAGGTGTACGTGGCTGGCGCCTTAGCCGGTTGAGCTATAGGCACCGAGCCGTGAAACTGTCTTAAAAAAAATTTTTTTTTTCAAGTCACACCTAAGATCCTCTTCGTGCACACTGGTGTGCCGCGGCACCCTAGTTGAAAAAATCACTGGGCTACAGGGAGGCCACAGGAGCTGTCTGTGAAAATACGTTTTTCTTTTCTCTTTTTTTAAAGACAGGGAATCATTCCTTTACCGGAGCTAGAGTGCAGTGGAGTCCTCTTAGCTCACTACAACCTCCAACTCCTGGATTCAAGTGATCCTCTTGCCTCAGCCTCCGGAATAGCTGGGATTACAGGAACCCACCACAATGCCTGGCTGATATTTCTATTTTTGGTAGAGACAGAGTCTCATCCTTGCCCTGGCTGGTCTTTAACTCCTGAGTTCAAGGGATCTTCCCACTTGGGCCTCCCAGAGTGCTAGGTTTACAGGTGTGAGCCACTGTGCTGGGCACCAATTTTTTTTTTTTTTTAAACCTATTAGATCAAATCCCATGAACTAGTCAGTATTTGACAGTTTTTTTTATGTTAATTTTGATCACTTTGTGAGAGTTTGGTCCCAAATAGACTAGAACTCCAGAGGCTTGGTGAGTGAGCTTCCTGTCCCACGTGTTTGGGGGGAGCAGTGAAGACGGCCGTGTGTCAAGGCCAAGGCCCCTGGTGTGTGCAGAATGTCCCTCCCGTAGGCTCTCACGTGTCCTGGCTTCCCATGGCTGCCGTAACAGGCGACTGTAAGAAGCAATATAAACTGGGTGGCTTAACAGAAATTTATTCTCAGAGTTCTGGAGGTCACATACCAAAGGTCAAAGTGTTGGCAGGGCCCTGAGCCCCCCCTAGAGGCTCCAGGGCAGGATCCTTCCTGGTGGCCATGTCCCTCCAGGCTCTTCCATCTTCATGTGACCTCTGTCTCCTCTTCTGTCCCTTACTAGGACATTTCTTGAGGGCTTAAGATCCACCTTAATTCAGTCTGATCTTATTTGGGTTTTTACCTCAGTTATATCTGCAAAGGCCTTATTTCCAAATCAGGTTGCATTCAATGTCTGAGTAGATGTGAATTTACACCCTCCTCTGCACTGTCTCGGGGTCTGCAGGTCAACACAGGCTGCAGGGCTGGAAAGCAGGAGACTCAGGTCTGGGTTCCAGGCTCACTCTGCCACCAACAAGCTGGGTGGCCTCAGGGTCATCTCAACCTCCCTGGGCTTCCCCTGGCTCTGTTGGCCACTGACTGCTCCAAATTTAGGAGAAGACAAGTAGATTTCACCTCTATGTGAGCCTATCGGCACTGGCCCGCCCCTTGGAGGCTTTACTTTTGGGACTCAGAGGTGTGTCATTGGCTGCTGATGTCTGCAGTGGGTGTGGGCAGGATGAGAGGGGTGGGGGTGGGGGTGCCAGGAGGAGCCTGTTTCTTCTGGGGCCCTCCTGGCTCTGATGGCTCAGCCCCACCCCAGCTTAAAGCTTCCCTTCCAGACTGAATGGTCCCCACTTCCACCCTTGCTATCCATCCCCTGTGTACTGGAAGCCTGTCCAGTGGCCTGACCCTCCTTGCCAGGACCTGCTGCCCTCTCCAGCCATGGCCTCCGGAGTCCATCTCTTCCTTCACTTGGGCCAGTACAGCCCTCCCAGGTTCCTTGTGCCTTCAAACCTGCATCCAGCCCGCTCCCCCGCCCTCTCACCGTGGCCATCTCATTGACCAGACTGACCACCATCTCTGCTCTACCTTGCACCTCCCTTCCCAGTGAGGGGGGGACCTCCCACTCACCCAACAGAGCAGATCTTCTGCTGTAGAAGCAGGTGGCCTGTGAGATTTCCACCTCCAGGACTTTCTGTGCTGAAGCCAGGGAAGTCCTGGGCAAAGTGGATGAGTTGGCCTCCCTACATAGGACCCCCCACAGTCCCCTGACCCTTCTCCCGTGTCTTGGATCCCTGACCTCACCATAGTCATTTGGCCCACCAGGTTCCACAAGGAGCCACGAGATCTAGGCTGGGGTTCCGTGAAGCAGGCCCCACCTTGTGCTGGCTCTGAGCACCTGCTCCCGGGGCTGCAGGGCCCACGTAACCTTGCTTCTTCCCTCCCCTGTTGGGGGCCACAGGGTTTGAAGCCAGAAAAATAAAGTCAACAAGCAGCCTCTGGGCTTTTCCAGACCCCGCCTTGGGGCGTTCTAGCATCTCCTGGAGCTTAGGGGCAGCAGGGCTCCGTGCAGGGTGGACTCCGCCTGGGTCCATTTGGGTGGAGAGCCCACTAAGAAAGGCGTGTGCTGGGGGCCTCCTTAGGGTCTGTATTTATAGATGTCCCCCCTCCTATTTTTAAACACTACTCTCTGACTATAAAAGTCGCATATACAGGGTGGCGCCTGTGGCTCAAGAGAGTAGGGCACCAGCCCCACATACTGGAGGTGGTGGGTTCAATCCCAGCCCTGACCAAAAACTGCAAAAAAATAAAATAAAATAAAATAAGTAGCATATACAGTGTGGAAATGCCAGACAAATACCCACCATGAAGAAAATCAAAAGTCCCCACAGTGATCCCTCCCAGCCCTGACTCAGGGGTGACGGCCCCTGGCCTTCCTCCGGGGCAGCATAAAATCAGAGGGAGCAGCCTCTGTGGATTGCTTTGTACTCTGCTGGGTGTGGTTTGGGGGTGCTGGGGACTTCAGTAGACCTGGGAGGGGAGGAAGGTGGGAACACCTGGGAGGGAGATGGAGTGGAGGCAGAGGTCTGGGTTTATAAGCCCTGTGTCTGTGAGGACCTCTGTTCCCATTCGCCTGCAGCCGGGAGCCCAGGTGAGTCTGTCCAGGCGGGTGTCCTGCAGGCAGGCTTCAGAGGACAGCCCAGCACAGCACCCCTCCCCCGTGGAAGGAAGGACCGGAGAGGCGTCCACTGGGGCTGGGCCTAGCTCTGGTGTCCGGAGCAGTGGGAATCTGTGTGGGGCCTGGGTGCATTTCCTGTGCTGGAGCTGGGATGCTTTCCAGATGTGCAGGCTGCTTCCAGGCACAGCCACGACTGGCCCAGGAAGCAGAACCAGCTGTGTGGGGGTTGCTGGCCCTCCACCCACACATGGGCAGTCACTGATTAGAACTTTATTTGTGAGGAGCCCAAACCTGTGGAGAGTCCCAGGCAGGCTGGGCCAGGGCCTGGCACCACCACCACCTCCTGGGGCTCTGCCTTTAGTAACAAGGAAAAAGTAACGTGCTCTGGGGTTTCTGATGATATAAGCAGTGACTGCTGCTGCTGAACGTGTGAGAAATAGGGAAATCCATTACTGCCCTCACCCTGCATATGTGTGAGAGGTAAAAACAATCGTTTAACACATTTGCAAACATTTGTTAGTTTTGTTTTTCCAAAATTAAGCTCAGATTGTGCATTTTCTTCAATAACCTATATTGATGGCATAAATGAGGTTTTTTTTTTTTTTTTTAAGACAGGATATTAATAGCTATACAATACTCCATCGTATAAACATCTTATTTAATGAAATAATGATATCTAAGTTTTTTCTCTGGTCACCAGGCTGCCATGAGAATCCTGGCAGGGACCCCTGTGGTCAACGGCTGAGCCATCCCTGTCCCCCTTTGGAAGAAGCAGGAAGCCACTGGAATCACGTAGAAGCCAGAGCTGGGAGGGCCTCCTGTAGACCAGGCCTTTCCTCATCCTCTCTCTGCTGTCCAGTCTATAGTCTGCAGCTGGGCTTGGGCAGAGCACGCTTTTGTGGGTGTTTGTGCCAAGCCTCAAGGTCATACATGGGCCAGTCTCACAGAGCTTGGAGGGTGGCACAACATTACTCCTCTAACCCTAGGACTCAAGCGTGTG